AACTAGCCGTCTGTATATTACACCTTCTCCATTTTGACTTTACTTAGATTTAATTTCTAAAGCATTACGCATTCTTATATAAGTCTATTTTTGTATGCATTTGTCATGGGTTTCACATTTGGTGACTGGTTAGCAGTGTGCTGGCCATCTTTGGTTTGTAGAGGAAATCTTAACCATGAACAATCAAGGGGGCTTAAAAGAATTTTTTAAATGCTAGCTTTTTACTCAAACTTGTATCTATACTACATCACGCCACATTAAGTAGAAGCACACATCACAAAATTGCACAGGGATTACAATATTACATCCAGTCTGCATAAAATTGAATTCCACTACTGACCAGGTCACAAAATGGCTGCACTTTCTAGTCTAAAACTAATTTGCATATTGTACACATGTAGGACATTTTTTTACTTCAGTCACAATAATGCATGCAAGTTTGTTTTTTGTAACAAATTTTGTAAATTTGCTCATGCTACCTAGTTTCAAGAGAGCCTTTTTTGAACATTTGCAATAACTCACCTCTTGTTAATTAATAGTTCTAGTGCATGCATATGGTGTATACAGGTAAGTAAACATGCAATTTTTTCACATTCTAAAACTATGGCAGTTTAGGCCATATTGTGCTGCCTGCATTTAATCTGTAATGCAGTGTGTCTTAAACGTTTCAATCCCGTATTAATAGGTGGCATTACACATAACACCTATATAGCAGCAAAGCTAATACAGCTTGTGATTAAAAATGTTTAAAAATAGCTAATAAATCAGATTATCTTGAGGTATTATTTCTTGCAAGTCAAAATGGAGAGCAAAAAATCAACCCTAATTTTTAGTTTATGTATACACTGAAAATAGCAACAACAATAAAAATAAGCTTTTTGTAGCAGACATATTCCATCTTCACTATTTTGCTACCTTTGGTAAATTACTGGGGCAGATCTTGAAGTTAAAAACCCATGTTTAGAAATAAGTGCACGCTTCACCCACTAAATATAGCAGCAGACTGTGTGCCCCTACGCAAAAACATTCTCATATCTAGTTTTAACTTTACATATAAAAATAACTTGGAGAAAATACAAAAAAACATTTTATTTTAACATGAAAATATCACAAAAATTAGTAAGCCTGAGATGTAGGGTTTTGGTGAAAAACAAGAGGCTTGTAGTGTTTTGGCTGCTGATAAAGATGCATGTATTGATAGCTGGGGTGAAAAGCAGAAGAATGCACTTATTTCTTCTGCATGTCAGTATCTTCAAACACAGTAAGCCACATGCACCCTTCTTTCCTTAAGTAGATGCTGGTTCACCATGTTTAATTCCAGCGGAAGTGGATCTGACGTGGGCGGTCAGCCCCCTCCTTTACCAATGGCTTATGGAATTCACGTCCTGCACGAGAGTGGATATTTGCCCAACAAAACTCACAGTAATACTGCAGGCAAGTGACATTGGCACAAAAGAAAGGAGCAAACTTTCCACCGCATCGTGCACCCTGGCATTCGTCACACATCTGGTCATCCAACACGTATGGCTTTACCTCCACCTGTTGGAGTAAAACAGAAACAATTTTAGTTAATACCTATTCCTACTTCAATTATAGGAGAGCATTTAGGTTTTTCTGAAAAAAAAAAATCAAAAAAAGTCTGAAATCAGACATATTAACACCTTGATCTAATGAATCAGTTATTACTCTTTATCATTAATCAGCTACAGATCTATCCATATGGGAAGCAGACCACTTCAAGGCAGATCTTTAGAAGTACACTATATAGGCAATAAACAGCTACATCAGAACGCCTCCTTAATTTATTCTGGAAGGATGTTCTTGGCAAACAATAATATGGAAGTATGTGCAGAAAACAAGCGAACAAGCCCAAAGGTCTCCCAACTAATCTCATCACCCTCCAAATGTACCCCAACATGACATCCAATTCTGTACTGTTTAGCACAAAATAACTGAACATATAAGAATGTAACCATTTATACATTAACCTTGTTTTAAAAATAAGTGTAAGTCTCTGCATGTACTACTTCTGTGTGCAAATTACAAGTATTTTCTGCAGGCTGGATCTTTTAGCAGTTCTGTTCCCTGTAAATTCACTCCCTATTTCTAAAATACAGTCAAATTTGGAGCTACACATTTTGGTCATTATTACTTTCCCTTTTGTGGCTTTGAGCTGTACAGAGATTTGTATTCAATCTATTTCTGAAAATATTTTAAAAGACCATTTTGCAAGTGTACAGGCTGCTAGAAACACCTGCCTTACACAGCTTTCTCCCAAACTCATCTGACTGCCAGAGTGGAAAAGTGGCAGCAGTCCAGTGGTAAATTTGCATTATGTCTTTGCGTAACTGAAATGTTACAGACTGCGATCAGACAGGAAGAAGAACTTCATAATAAAACACAAAATGGGTTGACTCCATCATTAAGGAATGTATTGTTGTCTTCCACATTTTCCTCACTTTTAAAGATGGTATTTTCTGATTTTTCTTGGCAAAAAGAGTTATTCCAGTTCATACTAAAACTCACTGCTGTAAGAGATATTTTTCTGAGATACTATTACCTGAGAAGAATGCTACATATAGAATAGAATAGTCTTCATGTTCTTAGCTTCAGAAGTAGAGGTCATACTCGACATGTCAAATGCATCTATGTTTGAAATAGGGTATGCTTCTTCCAGTAGTCTATATTCAGTACATGCTCTACTTATTTCACTACAACGACCTGCCTTAACACAAATTACACTCAAACTTTCCAATAAACAGGTACCTTATGCAGTAACTGTGTTCATGGTTCAAAATTACTGAGAGCATGAAGCAGCGTGTATTTCAAGCTTTGGTGCATTATTGCACCAAGATTGGTATGACGATGATTTCAAATGTATTAGAGAAACACTTTGGTGAATGGAAGCATTACATGAAGTGGATGCAGACTGCTGGCATATGAAAGTTAACAACATTTTAAGGAATTGCTTGGAGCTGAAACTCCAAATGAGTTTCAAGGAAATGTCTGGAGCTGAGCTTTCATATATGATAAAACAGGATGAGGAGCACTTTACTGAAGAAGAACATCTGTTAGAGAAACTAAACATATCTACACATCAAAAGGACTGGGGAGAAGCTGCAGAATATTTAGATAAGGAAGAAGTTAAGAACACAGACAATGTTTGTTAAGCGACTGTGACACTAAGATTTCCAATTAAGGTAGGAAAAGGTATGTGCAAAAAAATCGCTATAAATACTTTCAACTGAAGTTCAGAAGGATAAACAGGTGAACTGCAAAATTTGGCAACGAAAACAGACTTTTAAACAGACAAAACTGGTTATGAAAAGAATGTGGAAGGACAGCAGACCTACAGAAACCGGACATAACTGGTATAGAAAGGCTATACTAAGGTAAAGGGTAGGAGAACAGTCTGCCTCTAAGATTTCAGTGAAATATGTAATATATTGCCTTATTGGCCAGCACACATACACATCTCAGACGAAGGCAGTATCTGAGGTAGGACTATCTTCCTCACTTACAAAAACAGTGGTTTACAGATTTATACAAATTGCTTGCTCACATACAGATCAGCAGTAATACTGATTTCAGAATATTTTCAGAGTCTGAAAAGGCGTTAGTGTATAAACTCCCCAGAGTAAAAAAACTGTTTCTGAAAATAGCTTTCTTCATACTTTCAGAAACAGCTAAGAGTTAAGGTGTTCCCTAAAAAGAGGCTGTTCTCTATTACTCCTCAGTAACACAAATAACTGGGTTGTAGAAATATATATAATTATATAAATAATAAGGACTGACCGTATGATTTAATTAGAGAGGATGATTTAAAAAAATAGATTAAAAACCCTCTGAAATAAACAAAGAAGGTAGTAAACCCTCCCCCTCACGAGGTTTAAAGACAAATTTATTAAAATACTTAGATTTGGCATTGCCGTATTTTGCAAGTGAAACACCTCAGGAGTAGCATATGTTCTTAAAAAATAAGAAAAAACAAGGATGCTAATAAAAATGCCAACATTCCAGATTTAAGAGAATACCTGAGTCAAAAAAATACTTTAAAAAAATTAGAAAAGCAACACTAAAGAAAGAACACAAATTACAGCAATCAAAAAAGAAACTGTGACAACTCACGTATTTAAAGAGGAAGCCTAGACTTCCCTCCCCCCCCCCCCCCCAGCTTCTCCAGCCCACAAACAGCTGATCTACACATACTTGTTATACCTGTTCCTTCCTTTTTCTTGTTGTAGTAATGATTGAAGAAATAATTTGACTACTGTTTTTATAAATTAGGTCTGATGGATATAACTCAAATGCTGTGCTTCTGAAATCTAGTATCTGGGGTAGATTTTGTGGTTTTTTTTTTTCCCTGTCCAAGCTCCAAGAGGCCTGCAGCACATGCCCACTGTTTTACTGGAGGTTTACTGACTGCCCCATGTAAGTATTTCAGTGTTCTATCACACATTAACAAGTTATATCCCTTTCTCTGCAAACTGCAAGGGCTGCCATTTCAGATGCCTGCTCAGCATCCAAAGAGCCCTTAAACTCTCTGGTGACCTATCATAAAAAAACCGAATACAACAAACCAACCTACTTGGAAGTGCAGCCTTCAAAGGCAGGTTCATATCCCCCTTTCTCTTACGAAACAGCACTGCCAGTCTACCATATACTCCTCTACTGCCATGGGAAGAAGAAGACCAAGATAAAAGTGTCCCCTAGTTTACAGGGTTCAAGTCCATGTCTCCCACTTTTGAGGGAGAACTAGTCTGGATGGGACCCAACTGTCCACCTCTAAGTTTAAAGTTAGGTCACTTCACAGCCAAATGCACTATAGATGGTTCCTGAAACACACTAAGCTATGCCTGATTCTGAAGCTAAATGACCTATTTAGCATTTCTTTAGAGGGAGTTCTGGATTCTGGTCCTTATTCCATTTTGTCCAAATACTTAAATGCAAGCTGATGAACAGTTTTATTTCCCTTCACACAGTCACTGTGTCAAGGCCATTTTTCCTGTTATGTAATTAGCCAAAAGGTAGAACTATTAGTCGAAGTCAGCTGCAAGTCATAAGGACAGTGATCCCACCAGCAAAATGTAGCTGTCACACTCTAACGTGAAGCCTAGTTCACTACCCACATTCAGAGCCACTCATCCTCTGAAAAGGACCACGCTTGGGGATTTCAGCTCACTAGGCAACTGGTACCTGAGAGACAGACTCTGGCTATCTGAAAGGAGAGAAGCACATGCTACCTCCCTACAGCAGACTTTTGTTAACTGTACTACTTTCTTTTTCCCATGTCTTTGATCTATAGAGGAGACTGGACCTTGAACTACTTTACTTACTCAACCCATCTCTCTCTAAGACACTTTTATTTTTTTAAAAGAACATCTATTAATACCAGTGACTACCTCTGCAGCTCTTGACATCAAAACTACTGACACTTAAAACTGACATAATTTAGATGCCAGTTTTCTTTGTTGTTCTTGTACTTCTGAGTAATAACGTTGACTAGACTTCTTAATAAATGTTAGTTTTGGTTTAAGGTAGCAATAAGTATCTGTAGCAACCAGAAATGTAAATATTAAGAGGACTCTCTCAAACAGAATGGGTAAGGCATTTTGTATTTTAGGTGTTGAGTGTGACTGATTTTCTGAAGTGCTGAGCACTGACAATTATAGCTGAAATTAAGGGCAGCTGCAAATATAAAGCTAATCTGAAACCAATAAATACTACAGTTTCCTATGAATGACAGAGGAATTATCGTAGTCTTTGGTTTTATTAGAACAAGGGAGAGAAAAAGATTTTCAAGCCCTTTGCTCATGCACAACAAAACCAGGATCTCCAGAATGGAAAGAACATATGGTCTAACATATGTCCAAGGAACAAACTGCTGCTCTGTGGAATGCATGTTGTTCGTTTGGGGGCATTCACAGTTTAACTCTTGGAACTAGTGGAGTTACAGGAATACTGAAAGAAATGCAGAAGCTAGCACGAAAGCCAATCAAATGCAATGTTACTACACCCTGGGAAGTTCCTTTATAGATTATCACTCTAATACTTATTTATGTTTTAATTTCTGTATAACTTACTCTTTTATCAATATCGCCATGCTGAAGTTGAACAAACCGAGCACTGATGGCAGCAATATAACTCTGCTGATTGGAAAAAGCAACACGTCCAGCACCTTTTGGGTATTTCAGCTCAGGGTCAGTATCAATTCCTGCGTAACAAACTCCACCATAGAGACGGTCCATGATCATAGCCAATTCCACTATTAAGAAACAAAAATCATGTTCATTTAAACTGTTCCTCCAGTACAAACTTCATATATTATGGTCGTATTTAAAAATACTAGAAAAGTTAATTTTAATTAATTTTGCAACAATGTAACAGCAATAACAAGAAATATAAAAACATATTAAATATGCTATTAAATACTCAGCAGACAGATCTTTCACTCTGTGGGTACATACATCCAAGGAAAAATGGAACTGTAAGTCCTTGCAGTCCTTGATAACCTGGAACAGAAATTCCAGGGCAGTTTTCTTCAGGGGATTACGGCAAGACTTTTTGGGCAGGCATGGAATGTAAGCTGTATAAAATAGATCCACATGCCACAAATTCCTTGGTACATGTTCTTTGGCTGTCCTAATGCTCTATGTCCTACTTGAATTTAAAGACATAGTTAGCATCTTTTCATCAGCCACACAGAGCCTGATTCTCTCTACAGTGCTACACTCACCATAGATACTTAAGTTCATAGAAACAAAAATCTCAAATTTTACACATCAAGTATTTTAGCAATCCTCTAGTGATATTTTATGCTGCATTCAGTTTTGCAATTCATTTAGGTGGAAAATACTAATTTTTTCAGAATTAGTATCCTCCGTATTAGGTTATAAAGGTGTCAGCAGTCATTGATGTTCAATAGTTGTTTGAAAAGTCTCCTAAAATTTTACTGTTTTTGTGAAGTCATGATTCTTATTTCACAATGCCATAAAAGTTTCATTTTCACATATACAGGGCCATTTGAAAGCTAAATGTAAGAATGTATCTATTAAATTTATCACAGACGTTCAGCACAGTAACATGGAGTATTTGGACTGAATTTAAAGAAAAATCTGCAGTTGGAACATACGGTGTTTATGCTCATTTACAGAGCTTGTGCTACAGTCAAAAGTACAGTCCTAAAAGTAAAATAATAGAAAAGCTTGAGCATTGCAAGTCCAAGATAGAAAAAATTAAGATTCTTTATACTCCAAATTTGCTTCCTGGTTCTCTTACATCTTCCACCTGAAAGCTCATCTTTCTGTAAGAATAAAATTCATTACAAACTATGGAAGACTAATGAAGCCTAGGAGCCATTCCAATAGAAAACAGCATTTGAACCACTGTGTGTTATGCTTCTACTTTCAACATTCACTTCAACCTACTTATGAGAAGGCCATCATAAAAATATTGTAAAAGGCTACTGCAGTCAATCTCACAAAGCAGACTGTCCAGGCTGTAGAGCAACCATTCCACAGCTACAGAAACATTTAGTTTTTCCTTCATGCACTCTGACAAGAGTCTAGAAAGAGTGCTATAATCACATATAGTGTTGTGCCATACAGACTGCGCTAGCTCTCTGAATTTCTTCCTTTTCTCTCTATTCCTACTCCTTCAAGTACTCCTTCATCACCTGTGTTTTTGCTTTGTCCATATTAGCAACAGTAACTGCAACCTCATAGTAGCAGAAGAGTAGCTAATGCACAATGACAGGCAAGTACAAATACAGCTCCACATACTCATTGAGCATGGCAGAGAGGTTTTCAGAGCATTGTTTTAAAAACTAACTCTTTCATGACATAGCTTACACCACAGTTTTGCTAATATGATCAGAATATTTTCTACAGCTTTAGATATGTAACAGTTTCCAGTAATCTCAACGATAAACACTGATTTATGGCCAAAGCCAGCTGAAAACAGTTACTAGAAAAATGTAAGAATGCACAAATATTGTACTGTGGTTATAACTATCATGAGTGTCTTCTATTTTTGTATGTATATATCTATATCTATCCATACATACAAAAGTACGCATGGTTCAAATTATTTCCAATAATCTCCTACTTTTAAAAATAGCCACAGATTATACTCACCAGCTCTTAATGGTCTAGGGACTCCTCCAACAAAAATTGTTTTTCGAGGATCAAGCGGCTGGGAACCATCCATCACAAAGTCACTATCACTTAGATTCCAGGGACGGATCTGAACCTATTAAATTGGGAAAGAAAATAATATGCTGCTTTAAGTTTCACTACATTGTGGATGTATGTCCATCAGCCTACATAAACTGTCAAACAGTCATAACCCCATTAGCTTAGCATGTCTAGGTGCTCTGTTTGAATCCTGTTAATTCAAAACACTACAATTGTAAAATCATCCAACTGTTCCAGATGTTGAGCTCTGCCAACGGTAGTTTGCTTTTGATTATTTTCATCGTCATCATTTCAAATGCAGCTTTAGACAGATGGCAGTTATAGCCTGCAGGCCATCTACTGTTTACTTACTGGCTTGTCCTTGATAGTAGGACTGGAAACACATAGATATAGCTTTCCATCTTCTTCAATGCAGGCGTCAATCAGGGCCTGAACAGAACTCTCTTCTTGGAACAGGAGGAACGCATAACCTGGAAAAAAAGCCAAACCAACTGACAGTTTTTCTCTTATCTTTATTTTTCTTAATCATCTTTGCCAGTGACTTTTCCATACAAATGTGTTTACTCCAAAAGTAAAAGAAAGACAAACCAATTCTTTGTTATTAAGTCATCTTTAACTACATACTACCTTGCCACGATCAACAGTACTTCTATCCTTAAAATAATTGTGAAAAGAGACTAATAACCAAATAAAAGCAAACATGTCTGTTCTATAATGTACTGGAAGTCTAGGCTGAGCATAATTCATTGGCAGCAATGGACATTATACAATGAAAATCCGACTTGGCACAAAGGACTAATCTCTATTCTAGAGATTAGATCAAAGTACTTTGTTACGTAAGTGACCCAGCAAACCTCCCAAACACTACAAAAATAGGAATTAAAATGCTTATTTAATGCTACAGTAAAAATAAACAGACAAGCAAAGAACCTCACACACTAGAATACTTTAACAGTTACAGCATAACGATATATACAAAATTTGTTACTTTACAGGTGCCCAATAGCACAATAGAGCTGTACAGGGTCATATTCTAAAATGAACTTTAAAAGGACCATAATCCACACTTCTTTCTGAGATTACTACCAAGTGTGGAATTTTCACGCGAAGTTATATTTTATTAGTTGGATGGAAAAGTAAATGCTGAAGCAGCTGCTCTAGAGTAGGCTTGGCAAGACGGAGCGTGGCTGCTTTACCAAGCCTTTTGGAAATGATTCGGTATTTCCGAGAAGCTAGTTAACCACTGGCAATTTCTTACTGCAAACAGACAGTGTAGGTCATCAAGGCAAAGGCAGTAGGGTGCATCTCGAAGAGCATTAAAGCATCAATGTGTTAAGATTCTTAAGAATATAAGATTAGAGAAACAAATGCACGACTGATTTTAGATATATGGGAACAAAAGTAGGATTCAAAGAAAAAGCTGTAAGGCCTATACTGGTCTTTACTAACTTGTACCTCGTTTCTTACTGCTTATACTACGGTCTTACCGCAGCTACCTACAAGGGACACATGACAAGGCTTCTCGTATTCTTTATTTTTATGTAAATGTTATTTAGTTTCTTAACAAATATGCCATAGGGAATCTTTGGACTTGGGCTGAAGCATTTCCTTGCAAGGTCCACTGTTCATTGCTGAATAATATTTTTTAGCGACAACCTGTTTGAGTTAAGCTTAATTAGTAATTATTTAGATTCAAAATCTGTTTTAATGGGGATATCTTTCAGTGTTCATCTTAGAATTTAAAATCCACATATTAGCCATGCAAAACTCACTCACTGAATGAGGGCATGTGCAGACTGGCATGGGCGAGACCAGACCTGTGTAACCGTCCTTACTTGTGTGGAAGCCAGGAGAGCTCAGTACATGAATGATGGGAGTGCAAAAACTTGATAAATCAAAGGGAGGGCTAAATGCACATGATACTGACTAAGGGATCAGACATGCAAATTAAGACTCACAGCCGTAAGTAAGTAAAATATTTTGCCAGATGCCAATTTTCCATCAGTTCTTATCCTAAAGCAAATAAAGGGTGCTACTATATAGCTCATGATAAATAAAGTGTCATGAGCTTAGCTGCACTAGTCCCCCTCTGAAGACACAGACAAAGTTAGGGTATAGTCTGTACTATCAAATTGGTCTGGCTGTAGTCTTGCTCCACAGCTCTAGTCCTTCAATGATTTACAATGCATTTTAATTTGCTCTCCAAGCTTAGCCTGGAGGAAAATAACCAGTTCTCTTGGTGAAGTAAACTGGCTAGAGAAAATTATTCGCTCAGGGTCCACATTTTATAGCCATACACAGAGACAGCCAGCCCCTTCTGAAGAATGCTAGACTTGCAGTGTCTGCATACAAACCACCCTCCATCGCTGGCTCTGGACCAGGGCGCATTTCCTGGCACAAATCAATTATACATTAGCCATAGATTTCTGCAAAGAACACCAGTTACATAGGCAACCAACCTATATTAATTAGCCCACAAGTGCTTGCAAAGGGGAATTATACTCTTATCTTGGGTATTTCATTTAGACATCATAAATTAGGGCTCTTCTTATTACTACAGTTATCACATGCCAACAACTGTATTGCACAAACTTTATTCTTGCTGCTTTCTGCTTCCTCAATATATGCTTTTATTAGATTATTTTTCACCTCAACATCCATGAACTATTGTGGATATTTCATGCCTGCAAAGCTAGTCTGGTGGTGGTAAGTCATGTGCATAAATATGATGAAAAAGATCAAGTGCCTAACTATTCTTTTTGGAGTAGTACTGAACTACAGTTGCAACGTGTGATAGAAAGTTCCATGTGAAACACAGTGGGGAGGCAGGGTGAAGAGGAGGAGGTGTTTTACTGTGCTTGGTTTTTTGGTGTACCACAGTACCACAGCTTCACATCCAATATCAATGGAAGTTTGTTTACAATGGAAAAGCAAAGCTACTCTAATAGTTTTTGAAGGAAGCTGCTTTATACCTTTGGGTCCTATGTACACCAACAGTAGCAGGTCATGATCAGATATTACTTGCCAAGAGCCAAAGCTTGTATGTTTTGTACATATTTCACAAGGTGAGAAGTATTAGTTGAAACACAGCCTTATACAAATTTCTAGTTCATGTGCACCTCTACCCAAATTTATGCCTCCTGTGAGAGATAATAGGTAAGTACTGTTAGTGTTTATCGCTTGACTAAATTCTTCTGCATAAAACTGGACCTATTACCAACACTCCTGCTTTCAAAGACTACCAGTGTGGGTGACTTTGATAATACTTGTCCTCAGAAAATTACCTCAAATAATAAACAAATCTTTCAGAAGATGATAAATAGCTTTAAACTACATTCCCTGATATCTAAAGATACTGCACTGGTTATAGGTATCCTTACTCTGAGGAAATCTCTCTTAACGAAACAAGACCAAGAAATGAAATACTTTTTTTTCTTTTTAATGTATAGGGTCAGTACTGGAAACAGAAAACATGTCAGTAAGTCTGAAGAGGCCTAGCTGTATTACTAAATTAAATATTTTCATTTTTTGTGTTTATTACATAAAGAATAAATCAAAACCAAAGCATTCTAGACTAGATTCAACCTGGTAGTTAACATGATTTTCTGAGAGGAAGGTATAATTTCTTTATTTCATATGGAAGTTTATCAGAAGGAGAAAGGATGTTTCTTCTGCTATGTATAGTCTATGTAGAAACCAGAAAGCAGCTTTAATTTCTGTCAAACTCCAGTTAACTCCTATCGCTAGTGGCTTAGAGAAGTCAAGAAAATCAGTGCAAGCCAGCATGGCACTGTCCATGCCAGTCAGTACTGCTGTGTTTTGGTTTGGGGTTGGTTCCTCCCCAGAGGAGACTGAACGGCCTCAGTGCAGTGCACTTGCCCACAGAATGCTGCGCCTTAGCTTAAATCAGAAAGAATTGGTGTAAACTGCACATTAATACAGACAACAGATCTACATTTGATGACGGGAATAATTCACATTTGGGAAGGACGCAGTTCCTCTTTAAAGACATCTTTTCACCAAACTAATTAAATTTTATCTTTAAAACATAAACCTTTCCCTTGTTCAGTTTAGTCATCTTTGACGGAGAATTAACTCCAAAATACACTTCAAGTGAAAAAATGCAGGCTGATACAATTGTCATGTAGCTATTAGCTGAAGCATTTCTGAGTAGGGGGCAGCAGGACCCATTTCAAGATCCAAACACCTACTTCCATACTTCTGCAGTGACTGTGCTTAAGCTCCTACTGCCATATAGAGATCCAGTTAATGTAGTCAGGGGTGACTGGATGGTTACTCAGCTGACCAAGTGGGACACGGAGGCGTCTGGCACCATTTATGCTCTATAGGACTTAGCCTAACCTTCAGCTGGTGCTCCAGAATGGTGTGCGGCTTGAACAGGTGCTACTGCCACATTTGCAAGACCTGGGTAAATCATTTAGATATCCTCGGTTTGGGTAAATGAATCAAGCTCAATGTGCTTATGTTACGGTGACCTGAATAGCCCTCTATACCCACTGACTGTGCTGGCCAGACTCCCATTGATTAAAGGAAGCTTAGACACTAATCACACATGAAGACACCTACAGTTACTTGCCTGAATACAGAGTTCAATCCTACCCAGTGTGATCAAATAAGCTGGTAACAAGTTAAACAGAACTTGGATGGACCTGGGGGGTTTGCTTCTTGAACTAGAAACAGAACATTTCCAACCTAATTTTTTCAGTCAGCTCTAAATTAGCAGTTAAGAACCCTGAATAAATGAAGCTACTCCACAATTGCTGTCATAGAAGGCAATAGAAATGCCCAGACAATTAGAAAAGGCTGGGGATACTGTCCTGTTTAAATCAGATTATCCTCTGTTTGATACGGACTATAAATAGCACAGAGCACGCAAACAACTGGGCATATATTGAAAGGCTTTCTTTGGATTTGTATATCCTCATGGCATCATTTCTTTGAGACCTTCATTATCATAAGAAGGAGTCCTCACCTCAGCAAGTTACTTTGGACATGTGTATCGTTTTATAAATAAGTATATTTGCCAACTACGTAATAACAGGAGTTATGATAACAGGAGTTACGATAAGCAAGTCAGAAAGGAAGGAATTCTCCATTACAGTTGGCAGATCACTTACAGACAATGTACTTTGATCTCAACAGAGTAATTCTTTTCCATTTCAGAACAGAGTTTTCTTGTAAGATTAGTGTTAAGTTTTTAAAATTCCTGTTTTCTTTGGGCCTAATTTTGTGGTGAACCAATACAAAATCTAATTAGTTAAGAACAAGCAGTTGGTGTTTCTCAGGAGGCAGCCAGCCTTGATGGATTCAGGACACTTTTTGCATCTCTTCAAGCAAGGGAATACTTATTATGAACTTGGCCTTCCCTCAGGACTTTCTGTAAGCAGAAAGCCTGGAAGGAACCACAGCCTGGAAAATGGAACAAGAGTAGGAAAAAAAAAAAAAAAAAAAAAGGCAGGCTGTATCTCTTCACCACAGAGAAGACTACTATTACGTAAATCAGTTCGGAACTGGGTAATTCTGAGATGTCTTTGGGAAGTAATACTAAGTAATACAATGTTCAATCTCTAATGAGACTGAACAAACAAACATATACATAATGAATTGACTCCATGCAGAGTAACAAATTAGAAACTGGAGATTAAAAGTAAAAAAAAAGGCCTCCTTGGGCTAATATAGTATATATTTCTAAACTGCTAATTACTGATGAATCTCAAAACTTTCTTAGTGTTAGCCTATCTTCAGGAGTTTCAGACATCTTATTAAATATATGTATACACGGTTCTTCCCTGCACACGAGTAATACTTAAGAAAGACAGAATTTTAAGAAATTCTTCTACAAAACAATCATGGGCCATACCTATTGCACTGAAAAAAACAGATATAAACACAGTAATATTCAGCAGCTAATAGGAAGCTCTATGTCCAGCATATCTACAGAGAGAAACCTACACTATATTTTAGATGTGTTATGTGACATTACATAATAATATTGAATAATGTAAACTGAAAATTAGTATGAAGTTTTAAGATTGAAGAACAGTAAGTGCTATTAAATTTCAAATAAGGATCAGTTAATCATGCAAAATCAATTTAACAGTTCACAAGTGTTTCCTGAATTAGTTAGATCAACAGACTGAAGTTCTATGTGTATTCTCTGCTTTTAATAAGTTCTCCTTACAATACGTATCTTTTTTTTTTATGGTAGTAATTATAAACAATTATGTCAAGAAGCTTTATTAAATGAGGAAGTCTGGAAATATATCCTTAAGATGTTCAGATTCTGAGACAGACTATCTCCTTGGAAATGAATGTCAGAATCCATTCTTTTCAGGTAAGAATATATTACATCTTCCCTCTTCTATATATTCATCACAGACTCTGTGAGATGCATCTTCCTCAAAGAGTTCCTCAAGATTTTTTCTCGGTAATTTATGAAGAGAGAGGCACTCCTTAGGATAATCAAATTTAACTTGGCAGTAGATTTGTGCATCAGGCTGACAATCAAAAAAGCCAAAGGCTCTTTGTTTGTCTTACAATTTCTGTGTAGTGTTCATAAATACCAGTCAAATACTTTCAATTCCATTTCCCACTCTTTACAGGACCCATCTGGGATGATAATCCAGTCTTTTCCCCAGCATAGATGGTCAGATAAATAAATGAAGAATCCTATAAAGACACTATACCTACTTTTTCCACTTCCAGGGAAGGAATGAATTGCTGCATTCTGTAGAAAATGAATAATCTCTTCATTGCTTTCATATCTGGATCAGATTTTTGCATTTATTTTATATGTACCAATACATGATTGTACATGTACAGAGATATGCTACATAGTTTAATGACAATGTACAGAATGGCTTTTCCAATACTAAGTGATACTAAAAAGATCTAGTCTAACAGCAACACTAGAAATAGTAAAAGGTCAATATTCAATCATTTACCAAAAAAGATAATTAGTGCTTCAATAGCAAGTTCACATCCTAAAACTGAAATAAACATAATATTGATTTTCTTGATCAGATATCCAAATGCATCCTTCTGAATCCTGTCTGTAACTTCCTATGAAAATTTTTATCTAAGATTTAGTGTTAAAAATTTGACCAAATTTCAGTTTTGGAAACTGGATAGAAATGCAAATACAGAATTTACGATTAATGACACATACAACTATATAACACTGATCTAATACATGGGAAATCAGAATATGGAAGCTCCTTCAGGAGTCCAGCACTGAACAAAGCACAGTGCTAAAACAACACCATGTCTGAACCTGCACTGAAACTGCAGAATTAACTGTTCACAGGGATTGTAAATGATACCCTTTGGAAAAAGACAAGCCAGTTTCCTGGAGTAAGATTTGCACTCAGTGACAGGTCAAAACCTTCCAACTGTCTTACCTTTTGGTGGAAAATAGGACTTGCTTTCTGCTTTGTGAGGCCAATCTACTACCAAAGGCCCAAATCGTCTGAAGCTAGCAGTAATTTCATCTAAAAACAGATGTAATAGTTTCAATTAAAGTAAATGACATAACTCAATGAAAAAGCATTATCAAGCAAAGATCATTGTTTCTAGCAAAAGTTGACATTTCATGGAAAAAAAGGAATAAAATTTACAACTTTCATGAACAAAAAACTTAAATAGACACATCCTCCAAAGTGTTAATATTTATGCAATATATTTCTGGCAATTTTAAGCTTATGTTTATTTTTTATTGCTTAATAACAGGAGCATTTCAGAAGCATATGGGCAACTGAAGGCAGTGGTGAAAACTGGTGTGGTATTTCCTTCAATTCAGAATCTGGTCTGAATGCAATTGAAACAATTTACTGTTTAGTGATGTACAGTTCAGAGCTTTGTAGGTAGATACTCATATAGTAACTACCACCACAATTAGCATGCTAGCAGTTTCCAGCAGATACTATGCACAGATCAGGCACAGCAACTTAAAATTGCCTATTTAGAGGTGCTTCTAACATAACCATGAACAGTCCTGTTGCAAGATCTACTGTGCCCCCTGCATAACTTTGTGATGTCTTTCTATCCCAGCCACTCCTTCCTGTCATTGACTGTAAGAACCTTGGCCATAAGGAAAAAATTAAACCACCCTAAACTCTACAAGAGGAATAACTCATCAAATACAAATATGCTCCATTTCTTTCAGTCACATCCTGCCATCAGCATATAAACAGGCGGGAAAGAAAGAAAATATATTTCCATGTGTCTTTGTTTAGCATTTGCATTAAAGGCAACAGGGCACATTTGAATTAGAAACTAAAGTGCATCAAAAAAAGCTGAAGTATATTAAAATAAATCCTTTAGTACATTGCAGGAGAGCATCGCAATGAAGACGAAACCAAAATATGGTCTTTTCCATGTCTGAAAGTTAATTAACCACAGACAGCTTATTTGGTTTGCAAGTTACTCTAGGATTACACTGAACCTTGTAAAGGGACTTCTGTTTACATTACAAAGCTAGCATGTAATTTGCATTTATCTGCACAGGAGAAACCTAATATTAAACAGCATGATTACTTCAAAACAGCACTACTGTACAAGGCAATTCCAACTGCATCACATAACAGTCTGAGCTTCTGTGGCACATTCTATGAATCACAGCGTGCTCTGCCACTTGACCTTCCTTGCCTTAGTTTCTCTATTTATGAACAGGAATAATATTGACTGTTCTAAACCACTTCTGAGATCTTCAGGTAATAGTAAAATAGAATTTGAAATTCAATTACTAATAGAAGTTTTCTATGAATAGGGAATAAAGTAGGCACAGATAGAGGACACTATGAAGGGCTAAGATGCGTTTGAAAGGAATATACAAGGTAAGCAAGAGCACAAATTCCAGGCATCTCATGCAACTCTACAGTCTGCAAGTGCAGAATCAGAGACAACTGAACCATCTCAAAGCCAAAATAGATGGATGACAACAAATGATATTAAGCTCAACATATCCATCAACTCTCATAAAAAATATATATAGTTGTAGCCTTTTACACCAAAACATTACTGTCCTGGGTGGATAATTTCTACTACTTCATTTGGTTTTTTCAAAATTTCTTTCTCCCTCCAAACTTAGTTTGCTTAGTTTTCAGGCAGCTCACCTTCATCAATATCTGGTGGAAGACCTCCAACAAACACTTTCCGAGAAAAACGCTCAATTCGTTCTCCATTCTGATGAGCTGAATAGCAGGTAGGAGAATTCAAGACTCCAACTTGATCACTGTGACCATCGTCCAGCAAACCATCATCTATTGGGAAGAGGGAAGAACGGCCTTAAAAAGAAAAGATAACAATACACATTAAAGTAATTTTGTGGTGTACATGGTTATATAAATTTAGTGAATGGGAGAATAGCAGTCTGGAAAATAAAAATAAAAATTAGCAAGATATTAGAAAAGTACACATTAGCTTAAAGAAAAATTAACAAAATGAAAAATGTACTAAAGATTGCAAGCTGACATCACTGCATAATATTTCATACTTTTCTGCATCCAGTAGAAAACTAGTAATTTGTTTTCAAATAAAGGGCCTTATTTCTGAACAGATCATATTAAGGGCTGCTTAAGTGAGTTTCATTAGTCTGCCTTTGGTTTAGCTTCAAGTTAAACTGGTAACTTCCATCACCTGAATGACTATTGCATGTCTAAAAATCTTACACTTTAATTGAACGGAGGGAAACAGAAAAAACACGTACACAGTAAGAAGTTTCAAACAGGTATGTTTTCCCTTCTCTTTTTAAAAGTATCTGATGCTGATAATGTAAGAACAGATTTAATTTCTAAGAAAGCAAAAGAGAATTTTAATAAATGTGCAAAACATAACACTTGAAAAATGAGTCACAGTGCTGCTTTATTCTTCTTGCTCTCAAATTTAGCACTGTTTTGAAGGGAAACCCTGTGGTGGTTCCTAACATGTAGCGATGTGCAGTAAGATTATAGTTACCCTCAAATGCAAGCGTAAAATCTGAGAAGTTCACAGGATGGCTTTGCAAATGCAAACAGATGTATAGATCACAGGGGGGGAGCGAAAACATGGACATTCTGTCCCACTTATTTCCCCCCCTATTTCATATTTACAAATTTTAGAGAACTCCAAAATGAAAAGACTCAAGGCCAGGATATGCATCTTAGCTTATTCAAACTTTTGCTGCTTTAGATTAGCAATATAAGATTAATGATAGTTTCAAATTCAGAAGTCAGTCTTTTAACTGCAAAAAGCCCCCAAAGAAACACTTGTGAAGCAAAATAAATACCCCACATGACCATTTCTTCTGAATTGCAATTTTTCCTGTTTCTCTCTCTCACTCATTTTTAAAATAATCATCAATTAATTTAACTGCTTTCCAAAAACAAGCAAGCAAACAAAACCAAAAAACAACCTAGCACACTTTTGGGAAGCAAGTTAATTTTCCATCTCAAGTAGTCAACTGCTTCCAGATTCACCCACTGCAAATCCATAGGCAGGAGCAGTAGGTCCATGGCAGTGGAGCCTGCAGTCCCTTAGCTGTGAGCCATACTGCAGTCTGTAACCTGTATCCCTTCTCAGGGGAATACCACACCAGGAAAGCCCTGTAGGAACACCTGGAGACATTGTGCTGATCAGCTAGGGGTGAGAGCAGTATGAAAGCCATTCACTCCCAGAAGACCTCCTGAGAATCAAGTGCTTAAAGACAAGGCTGGAGAACAGACAGCAAACATCATAACCAATGACCTATGTTGTGGTAATGCCCAGTGACCCAGATTTGGTACCTAAATCCATGATAAAAATATAGTACTTCAAAAATACCGAATGAAAACACAAGATGATAGAAAACAACCAAACATAATAAAATGTCATGAGGATCACAAAATAAAAGCAGGACCACAGGACTGTACGAAGTAACAAAGACTGTAACCACAACATCTTTATGGTGACATTTCACATTTATGTCTTAAGTAGGCATCCGATGCAGAGGAGTACAGCAAATGCAGAGAGCTGCAGCAGGCTCCTCCTTTCCCTTAAGAAAAGCAATATGGATGTTTGAGAGTATGACTAGTGGGGAGCAAGTGATGGCATCCTTGCTTGCTATCATAAGGATGCATTCAACAGCTAGATAGCAGATCAGTAGAGTGCCCTTAAAAGAAGCAGCATGTGTGCTTAATGGGGCAGAAAAGTGAGGAAGCAAGAGAGAAACAAAAAGGTAACACAGTTGGAAGCAGCAGCCAGGCAGATTCTTCTTGTTTGTCATATATTTAGACATCAGAGGCGCAAGATCATGCTATGAAGACTGCAGCAGCTGAGTAACGTGGATATGAGTTTCAGTTATGAAGACTAAGAAGAATGATCAGATCTTAAAGATGTATACGAAGAAGTAGTAAGATTTGGTTACACAATCAAGAAAGTGAGAGATAACAATGGATTTCTGAATTACTGATGTGAATGATGGAGAAGACGGAGCTGTTGTTACAGTGACAGTGAAAGGAAAAAGTGGCTAACAGAAGAAATATGACTCAAATTACAGGAACTTGCAGGAAACTGCAAAAGTAGAAGTTTTAAGAATTTCCACTAGTATATGAGAGTTATTCTTAATATCTTAAATCTAAAATGACTGTAATTTAGCTGGGTTAGCTTTATAAAAAGCACATAGATTTGCTCTTTACCTCTGCAAGTCTCTGTACTGCAGGAAAAAAGAAACTTAAGTGACTTAAAACCATGCCATTTTTAATAAACTTTTTGGCATTTGAGTATTGCCAGAAAAGCATTTAAGTGTGAGCTGCTTTTTTTTTTCAATTTTTGTTCTGTTTTTTAAAAACAATACACAATTTATACTTAAGGAAGGTGTCTCTTCAGGCCGTGAAAATTATGGTTTTGTATTTCTCTGAAAGTGCTTCTTAGACAATTCCAACTTACAATATACACAAGTATATAAGGGGGAAAAAAAAAATCAAATAATCCTCAGAATAATTTATTTTTTACCCACAGACCAATGTTAAAATCTAAGAACAAGGATAATCTAAGGCTCTCTTCCTAGTACAAATTAAACCATCAGAACATGTTCTGAAGCGATACCGGAGAGATCAGTTTTACTTTCATGTGGGTAAAGGTTTGCCAAAAGCACTGTAGCTCCTCAGAGAGCTAAGGTGACACAGAGGACAATGGATTAACACATTTAGAGTAACGTGCTCTGTACGACTCCCAATACTTTCTTTGCCCTCCTCTTCACTTTTAAATGCCTCTCAGATGAAGAGAGCAAAAAGGTAATTTGCTAGGCTTTCACATTTCCCTTGACGACTGTGAATTAAAAGGATAAGCCCTTTTCAACACTGGTTTCTTTTTGTTTTATGACAGTGAAAAGAATCAAGCAGAATCTGCCAGGAATTGTCAAAACACGATTGTACTCTTACATACGTTGACCATGATCTGGACCATCCTTCCTCTCCATGTTAGGGCTACCAAGCAATCAGTTATGAACCAATGCAGAGATCAAGAGAGACACATGAACTTATGTGTATGTTGTGAATACTGGAAGCTATCAAAGATCCTGATGTTTTTGCTTTACATGGTCTTTACAACAACCACAGGTCACATCCTCATATAGTTAAATCAGTATAGCTTTTCCAAGGTCAGTGAGCATATATTGGCTTATACTATGAAAATCTGTTTACCGTTTCTAAGAATTGTCTATGAGGTTTCTGGCTATGTTTATGAAAGGCTTTTAGTTTTTACTCTGTATGCTATCACTTCTACAGAAGCAACAGAAGAAGAGTTAGAAGAACAACTAGCAAACAGTGTACTTTTAAAAGGGGGCAGCAACTGCAAGTAGTAGCCATTAGCATGAACTAAATTATGATTAGAACTACCGTGTTTTAATGGATTAAAGGATTTGTAATTCAGACTCTAAAGAGATATCAGTGATCATAACAAACCAGACTGCACCCCTCCTTCCCTCACATCCTCCCTCTTCCCCAAACTAAGACAACATGCAGATAAGCATTTATAATCAACAATTTGGATTAATTAATCGTAATGATCAGTAACAGCTCAATCAGAATTAATTGTACTGTAACAAACAGAAACGAATTACCTCGTCTTCGCCCATAACTCCTCGCTGCATGCAAACAAAGGACAAATTGTAAAATGTCAAATAACTGTATCATGCCCACATATTAAAATATTTAAGTTACGAAGTACTATGTGGGTAAGCGATAAGTAAAAATCTGCATCAGTACTTGCTACTGGTAACTGTAGATGAGAATGCATTAAACTGAAGTCTCACTTAAATACCATACTATTTGACTACTAAATTGGCATTAGCACCAGCTGTAAAGAACATCCTTTAAAATATTTCAACGTGTCTTTATACTTGATCGTAACTTCATCCTAATTATGGATGAATAAATTATGGTAACTTTGTAATTCATCCTCACTAATGTGATTCATATCTTACACAAATGTCTAAACAACACACAGGGTACTGAAATTGTAAAAAGGAAAATATTACTTTAGAAAGCACGTAGCAAGCGTTAAATTAATCACAGAAACATCCTGGTCCATGGAACAGTTTGTACAGTCCTTTGCAGTGACAATACAAATGCTATAAGCCGTGACCTTCCTTTTTCATGAAAAGACCTAGCAGAAAATTAACCACAAGGTTTTGTTTGAAACAAAAGACTCCTTGTGGTAGCAAACAAAATCAGGGCACAAGTCACAAGAAATAGCATTGTATCAAAAACACTGCACAAAGGCAAATCAACGATTTCTGACAGCCTGCAAGTAAATCCAAGATTTTCCTAACTTTTGAGTTTTGCAAGATTCTTAAAGAGATCATGCTTATAGCTACAGTTCAGAAGAACGTACTGATTGCTTCTCTGCCTGAAAGCTAGGAAACTAAAAATAGACAGATTACTAATACAAAAACTATTAAGCTGTGTGTAATTTCTTAGTTATGTTTCCACAAAGTATCTTCTATTCCCATTTCACAGACTTTGTATCTGAGAAAGATTACTTTAATCACTACAGCTTTGTAGTTAAATATCCGAATAGGAAATATTACTATAAACCATAACATTATAGCAACATTCATGAACAAGGATTGCTGTGTCTCGGCATTATTGTTTGGATTTTACTAGGACTCCACACATACATCTCTCCTAAAAAGCAGCTGTGGTTCTGGGCCACTGAAATATATGCAGCCTCATCAACTCAGTGATTTGTAAATGTCATTCACTGGTCTGTTCTCATATTATTAAATACTTATATCCCGGTACTTCCCATTTGCACAGGGTTTTCCAAA